TGTGTTTCACACAATCCAATATAGATGTCGACTGTTCGCCTCTATTCTAACCGAAGCCTCATCGACTGCTACTCATTGGATTGTCCCATACTTTGAACAGGACTCCACTTGGCGTCTTTACCATCAATTTAATACGCCATGCACTCGGTCGCATCTGCTTCAAGACTTCATGAGTAACGATAGTGCAGTTGTTAAACTGTCAACCACACCATTATCTTCCAGTGTTGCCGTATCCGTGAATATTGAATAGCCGTTCACTATTTTTAGGACTTCTAAAGCACTTCGGATAGAACTGAAACCGAGATAGTTTCACTCACACCCCTTACCGGTGACCACGAACCACAAGCTGTAACACTGTTATTGATAACTTTCAGAAAAAACGAAAATAGGAAAATAAAACCGATAAGTGACAGATGTTGCAGAGTTGCAGTACGAGATCTCACGGTGAAACCAGTTGAATTTTTCAGCCAACAGACATTAGAAAACCGCAATATGGGTGGAGAATTGACGGCAAGTATAACGTTGACACAGTGGTTACACATGTTTCACGTAAGGGTTTCGGGCTGCGAACCCAAATGAGCCGGCGGATGACCTGCTGATGAGCATTGAAAAGGTTGGTAGGATGCATTGAGAATGATCCTTGATGGGAAGGTTCAGAGGACAGCCAATACAAATAAACAAAATTTACCTAACGTAACTTCCAACAGGTAACTTTCGATCAGGTTTTCACAATCACAATCATTTACCAGGCGCTTTCGTGCACCGGTTTTGGTCGTTGTTTCATGACTGCCCATTTGGAGGATGGAACAAAGAGAAGATTGGAATGTTCAAATCAGTTTCAGGATGAAAGCAGAGAATTCGTGAAGATTCACGTTACAAAGACATTGAGTAGATGCACGAGTGCCACTGCTTACGATGCTCAACTATATCACTCAGTGTCTTTAACTATTGATTACTATTGATCGTGAGGTCCCCCATCGGAAAATCTGGGTCTTAGTTTGACCAACTTTGGCTTTTTTCCACCCATTACCTGTCTTGGAAAACCTCACGCGCTGTGGCAATCTATTTGTAACATGCGTAACACATACTCCAACCAACGTAATCTATAGAGGTTGATCGTGGTTACCTCAGTATTACCCGTGCGGTTGCTCAACAGACTTGTGCAATGTGACGTAGACAGCGGTGTTCGAACACCGAAAGTTAAGCTGTATCCTGTTCCCGTAATGGCCAAGCCTCTGTGTTGTATAGCAGAACTGGCCGAACTGCTAGAGCATTCACGGACAGCCGAGTGTCGCGACGGTGTCACAACTGACACTGATTGGTTCGCGACCACCGAGCATTCGGGATGCGTGTCGTAACTTCATCCGAGATGCGCACGCCAGGTCAGATAGATGTAGCTGCCCAGCTAGCAAATTTCTTTTTACTACCTCCATTGATCCTGCAATTACAGTGAGGTCATCACTTAGAGCAATATAATGTTGTTTGAATCATCCAGATCAAACAGCTGATCACCTAGGAGCAAATCAATGCTACAGTCCTCGTACGAAGACAGGACTGTTTCCATAATCAAGTCTATGAAAAAGTTAAATAGAAAAGGAGAGGGAGAGGACGACCCAGACAGACATCACTTTTCGTAGGGAAGCCCGGCGAAAATGTGCCGTAGACTCCGGCTTAGCTTCTGCTATTAGTATAAAGAGATCGCCAGATTGACATAAACTCCTCGGGCACACTCCTGAAAGAAAGACAACCTCAAAGCATACAGTAGTCGACTGAAATTTTTAAGCCGCTTCCGGGTCGAGGAAGACGCAAATGATGCCTGCACAAAAGGAGTGCCTCTAGGGTTATAGAATTTGGTGAATAGTGAAAGTATGGTCTGTAGAACCTCGACCGGGTGTACAAGACAAACCTGATTCTCACGCGTGCGTTGTTCACGTACGGTAGACAATCGATGGCGTCTAAGGTTGGTGGCTGAAACTGTGTACTTCGATGGATCGCACAGGATTTGCGAGAATTATCTATGCTATTTCACAATTGCCCGAAACCAGACTGCGTGAAACAAATCAGGCTAAAAGAATCCCCATAAAAACGATCCATTGATTGATCCATGATGAGCCTGAACAAGTGTACAAAGAGAAGCAGTCAAGAAACGATTTGATCTGAAGTGAAGCACCAACGAAACCCCGACTTCATTTCCGTGTGTGTAATCAGTCGACAAAAGTGTCAATGAATCAGTCATTTCGTCATTTTGGGCGGTTTATTGCTGAAGACTGATGCGCCCTGGCGAGGCGAGGCTAATGTCAAGGTATTGGTCGGAGTGAAGGAAGGAACCCAAACCCATGTTTATGATATGAACCACATTCTGTTTTATGGTGGCTTCATTTCGAGCTGAATACGCTACGACGAAAAATGTGGCTGCGTGAGCTAAAAATAAGCGTGAACAGATGAATCATTTCTATTGGGGGAAATTAGAAAGTGTTTCTCCGTTTGATCGTCCTCTTAGTTGTGAACGGAAATGTCGTTTGATGAGACTACCTGATAACGACACGAGAGAGAGAGAGAGAAAGTGCCAGGGACCACGAGTCCGATTAAGCTGTCGATTGAACACAAATAACTGATCACAAAGCTGCGGAGCGTACACAGCACACAGTGACGAAGTTTTACGAAATCCTGTATGTGCACACAAACGATGAATATAAACAATACACATCCAGTACCAAACGGACTGCCGGAAATGGGACGAGAACGAGTTTGAACGTCAAACAATGCGCACTCGGTCGCGGGCGTACCGCATCAAGGGTATGTGAGTATGAGTGTAGTGTATGCGCATAGCGAATGCGAGTCACGATGAACAGCAGAGCGTTTATCAAACTGATTGAAGAAAGCAATCACACAACCCAACATTTCACACGCGCAAAGTGCAGGATATCACTAGTGGAGGGGGGTTAATGTAACCATGACATATATGTATTTATCAGTATTCCGGATTGTTTTACACGACAGACAAAACAGTATTGGATGATGAACTTGAACTGCTCTGCTTATACAGAGAGAAAGGTACACGACCAAATGAAAAAAACAGCCAGTTATGAATAAAGCGGCGTGAAACGAAGTGAATTTGAATACAACCAATGACTGATATGTTCAATTAACCCGTAGCTTTTGGAGCGAATATGGGCTGGAAAATTGTTAATTTGTTACCAGTTTTCAGTCTGTACAACCATTAACCATGCACTATCGTGCGCCGTTTTTGGTTCCTATCTTTTGGCTGCCCATTTGGATGGACATTAGGAGAAAGACAGGAAAGGTTGAAAGTAGGATCGACGAGAAAATTGAAAATTTCTGTGGACTAATGATACAGAGAAATCGAGAAGATGCACGAACGCCACTGTTTACGACACTCAGTCATATCACTCAGTGTCTCTAACCATCGGGTACGATTATTCCGAGGTCCCCAGCCAGGAAGCCTAACGGGACCTATGTGACCCAGAATCCTGGTTAGGGTTTTCATACCCTCATGCGAGGCCTTGAATTGATCACCCTTGGCGTTATTCCACCCACTACCTGCCTCGGCAAATATCGCTCACCGTGGCAACCTATTTGGTGACATGCGTAACACATGTCCCAACCAACGTATTCTATGCAGGTCGATAACTTGCTTCAGTGGGCGGTCACGGTTACCTAAGGCTCCACGCCGAGCTTCAGCATTACGTGTTCGGTTGCCCCACCAGATTCGTGCAATGCTGCGTGGTGTTCAAACTTCGACAGTCTATCTTTGTCCTGTTTTCTTCATGGCCAAGGTTCTAGGCCGTATAGTAGAACTGGTGGAACTTCTGCAGCATAAACTCGACCCTTCACGGACAACCGGATGTTGCGACGGTGCCACAGATGTCTCAAGTTGGCAATTGCCAACCGAGCCTTCTGTGTACGTGCCGACCCTTCATCCGTGATGTGTCCACCGGGCGAGATGAACGCATCACGGATGGGTGTCTTAGACACTCATTTGGAAAACCCTCCTTCCCATCTGTCTAGTTCTAGCTGTCGGTTTGCCTATTCACAATCAAACAGCAACGTGTTGCACAGTTTAAGCTTTCACCAGCGTCAGCTTCTTCTGCAACTGACTATTCCAGGACACGTCTCATAATCTCCCGCGGCAGACCCAGCCGGGGTATAGATTGTCGAGAAGACTCAAATCCCTGGACTTTACAAAGCACCGCGATCCAATGGCCTCCCCCCTTCCAGCTCGATTTAACTATGGCGTAAAGTTTTTTGTACTACTAGTTGCTCTGTTCTCTGATGTTTGAAACACTGTGCAGCTGCCCCCCTTCCGTCCTGAAAGCGGAGGGAGGGGGAGGACGATTGTCATCTTTAAGAATTGCCTGAACAATGATTGTGCCAACCATATGGGGTAGTCGTTTGATCCCATTAGCGTCAAATTGGTTAGAATCGTTCATTCTTCGCAGATTGTGCAATCGGCACGAGGCGCAGACCTAATACGAACACGCTGGGTTTCACACCGGTCAAGGATATGTCGATCAAATTTTCGCTCTCTGATATTCGGCTAGAGCATCATCATGCTTTTTTTTAAGACTTAGGATCATCGTGTCCTTAGACATCCGTTCGGCCATAGATTACATCAATAAGACCGTACTATAAAATGGATTGTTGATAAATGGAGTACCTGAGAAACATGTGTCCCCCCTCATCAGACCTTAAGCCGAGTTAGGGCATATGATCAGTTTTCGTCACCCTTTATCCTCTCTAATGGTGTGCGATAAAACTGCCTTTATCCCTATTCTTTTCATCCTTACGATAGAGCATTTTCAACAGCATCATTTACAAAGGTCTAGCAAATAGTGAATTTTTTAATCCTCCCGGGAAAACAGAGCTCTTCTCACTGGGTGTAGTGCCTGTTCAAGAATGGCAGAAGCCTGTGCCCGAACTCATCCATTGTGGTGAAGTAGTTGAATGCTTCGAGTACCTCGGGGGCTTGAACGCTGCGGGAGATGGAGCTCGGAGAGCACACCAACAAACGCATTCACATCCTGAGCTACAATCATTCCAGCATTACATTCACCCGGGCTTTGTTTTCACTTGTCCCTCAAAGTGCTGCATGATTCCTCATTGTGACATCCGTGCTACACCGTGGCACATGCGGTACTTCGGTTTTCCAGGGATTACGCAGCTCAACACAGAAAGAGATGCACTTCAGTCAGATCCTTTTCTCTTAAATGTGTTTTACATTTTGGGAGTTGGTCCATCCACGAAAAACGAACCGAAGCTAATAAATATTCTCGTTTGTGCCAACTTTTTCGATTGTCGGTTTTTTTCGATTTTTCCAGATCGTCCGCAAACGATGGCCGAACGATGATGACCGAGTGCGTCGTATGTCCCTGGTGGAAGAAGAGGGAGAGAAGCGTATTAATATGGCTTATCTGTGTATTGTGGGCTCGCACGCGGTCAATGGCGTGGCGGCGATCCACTCGCATCTTCTAAAAACTCAAACGTAAGTTCTGTTATTGCCGTACATGCAGGTGACACAATACCAATGAGATTAGTCTATTGGTTTTTGTCTAACGTGCCTTTCACTGTTCTGTAATGCGATCCAAGTATTTTCATGATTTTCTTGTCGCTTTAAACTTCCTGTGTAGTTTACTCATCCGGCTGATTAATCGATATATCATAAATCATTCTTGTGGCATCCGCGCCGCCTTTTTTCTCACTTATTCTATATTGGTATATTTGTTTATTTGCTTTCACTAGTTACATTAATATCATGGCTACTGGTGGTGGTGGTGGTGGAGGAGGAGGGGGTAGTTCACCGTACGATGATTATACTGCAACTTTGATGGACGATCCATCCAAACTCAAACTTTTATTATGTTTAAATTAAACAGCTCATGCTTATTGAATGCCATAGGATCTGTACACACACTGGGTTCGGCTGGTAGTACAATTAAATAGCAAATTATGACGTTCATTGAAAAGTTAGGTGTTCCAATGCTTCGTCCAGTCATGACTTAAATGCATCGATGGTTGGTGCACAAACAACTTGTGGTCGAAGAGAGTTCCAGGTATTACAAACTCGTAGGCTGAAAGAATGACACCTGCAGACTAGCCGACTCTTCTGGAACAACAGTTTAAACGAATGTTCTCGGAGGTGACCATTCCTGGATATTGTTAGTAGAGTACTACACGGGTGGTTAGATTGATGGAGTATTTGATATATATAACGATCATGTCTCCCCGTACTCGACGGTGCTCGGACGAATAGAGTCCGAGAATTCGCAACCTTTCGCGTAGGTCTTGTAACTTTTTGATCATTTTGGTTGTTGCTCTCTGCGGACGTTCGAGTGCCTTGCGGTCTCGAATTGCTACTGGATTCCAATCCCGTATAGCATACTCGATGTGTGGTTTAATGTATGCTGATAGTAAACAGGGCAATAGGTCTGTTTCGAATTATTCAAAAACACGTTTTAGCAATCTAACGTGTTTCATGCCCTTTGATGACGCTTTTGCGCAATGTGTGGAACATCCTACATCCCCACGAATGACAACTCCCAGTTCCTTTTCGTTTGGAGAATGCGGTAATGGCTGAGTTCCAACAAAGTATAGAAAGCGACCCTTATGGCACAACAACACAATCTTACATTTCTCAATGTTGAATTCAATCGCATTAGTGGTAGACCATCGATGGGCTGCATGAAGAGTTTCCCTTAGGATTTCATAGTCTTCAGAATATTGTACCGTCTTCCATGTTTTGGTGTCGTCAGCACATAATAATGCCGTTTCTCCAAGGACAGGTAGTTTGTTTATGAATGCTAGGAGAAGGTACGGACCGAGTACGAATCCTTTTTTAACTCCACGGGCAGCCTCAATCAGACCCGATAGTGAACCATTAACTCGAACAGACACGGCACGTTGTCGAAGAAATTCCTCAATCCAGTCAAGTAGCAGTCCTCGAACACCGTAATCATGGATCTTTAGCAACAGTATATGGTGGTTAACCCTGTCAAAAGCTTTGGAGAAGTCTAAGTAGACTACGTCTACTACCTCTCCTGCGTCGATTGATCTAAATTCGGTCTTATTGATTCTTTATTTTGTCTTGTTTTGTAAATACCACATCAATCACACAGAGCGTAATGAGAAAGTGCGCCAAACGAACAACGCACAGTATTATTCAAAAAGCAGAGCCCTACAGAATGTTAGGATAACTTTCTTATATTGGAAGAGGTGAGCGAACGAGGAACATCACTCAGTGGGTTCTTTGCTTAAGTGAATCAATATACCTATTGGCATTTAACAGCGGTTGATCCAGTAAGCTCTGTAATTGGTTGATTTTTTTCATTTGCACCGGACTCGCGATGAAATAGTTAGTCAGTGAATGCATGTTGAGCTGATTGTTGTTTTCCGGGAATTGGTTCATCTATGCAGCGACGGTGTTTGGAGGTTTAGCCTGTCTCGTAGCTTGTGTGTTAGAAACCCATCACCTATGCCCCAATTTTCAATTGATTGTCTTTCATTTACCCCACTCCTCGTTCTTAATGTCCATTGCAAGCCAGCGTCCAGTTCATCAGATCATACGCCCTTCGGACGGGATCAAACGTCCAAGGTGCCCAAAACACCTCAATGCCCAATTGAACCGGTGACCATTGCCACAACCAGGAAGTTGTGTGTATTTCGTACGTCTCCTCTTGGTTGTTTTGAAATCAGGGTTTTTGGCCAACTCCCCTAGGTGAACTGCCAGTGGTCCACCAACCCGGTTATAGCCCCGGATGTCGGCTATTCGTCCTCTCACTTTTCTGAGAAAACTCCTCCGCCACGAGAAGGTAGTGATTAGGGGTTCCTAAGCAGAGGCTATTTGAGACGCTTGGTCGTATCGGGACATTTCGTGAGGAGCAAGGGAAGGGTGACCAGCCACAACCCTAGACACCCACCCCGACCATACGGAGGATTTCGGAGACCTCGTTCTTGATAATTATCATATGTTCCTGAATGAAATCAGAAAGAACACTAATAATGTTATATTATTCTGTGAATTTCTAAATATCATACGAGTTTCGTTGGCTCTCTGTCTCTCGTTTTCACTTCATGCGCCAAGACGTTTTTAGCGCGAGTGGACTTGATTAGCACTTGCGTTGCACAAATGAAAAACGTCTATGTGCATCGGTTGAATTATCATCCACATTTTGTTACCGTGTAGCGCGCCCACCTCAGCTGAATAACTATTCATTATTACATCTCTTTTTTTGTATTTCTCGATTCATCTGCTTGCGCAACACCCTAAACATGTACCTAAACAAATAGATTTGAATGTTCTGTGTAATTCTCCACTGCGGTAGACTCCTAATTGTGTCCGATTTGCTGTTTGGTTTATAGCTTCAAAGACTTTGCCGAACTATGGCCGGACAAATTTCAGAATAAGACCAATGGGATCACTCCGCGTCGCTGGTTGTTGCTGTGCAACCCAAATCTTTCGGATCTGATCATGGAAAAGATGCAAGGCAGTGACGGTTGGATCACCAATCTGTCCGAGATTGCCCAGTTGAAGGCATTGGCTAATGATGTGGCATTCTTACGCAATTTGATGCGCATCAAACGGGACAACAAAGCGAAATTTGCAGCCTATATGGAACAGAACTACAATGTTCATCTGAATACGGCTTCGATGTTCGACATTCAAGTAAGTCACGCACCTAAACCAGTATATTTTATTTCATATGCATGGAGAGTGAACGGGGGTTTTTTGTGCGTGTATCACTTGATTATGTTGCAGCAAATCGGTGACTGCTACTATGCCGTGCAGAGACTTGGTTATTACGGGAACAGGATAAAAATCGATTACCCTCTGTTCGAACACCGATGCCTGTATCGCGTTGCAGGAGTCTGGTGGGGCAAATGAACGAGCAATGCTGAGAGTTTTAGGCAGTCTCGGTCGTCCACTGGAGCAAGTGATGAACCTCCATAGATTATTCGGTTAAGACACGTTGCACATGTCACCAAATAGGTTGTCACATCGCGCGATGTTTGCCGAAGCGGGTAGTGGGTGAAAAAAGATCCAGGATGGTTAAACGAGAAGGTGGTGTGAGGGTATGAAAACCCTAACCAGGAGACTTGGTTACACAGGTCGTGTTAGGCTCCCTGAACGGGAACCCCGGGATCATGGTTACCGGTGGTTGGAGACACTGAGCGATATGGCTGAATGTCGCAGTCATTGGCGCTCCTGCATCTACACACTTTTTGCAACCCGTCGATTTGAATTCTCCTTCACTTTGACTCTGTTCTCAACATTCCAATCTTCATTCTGCTCTGACTTTTGGTAGCCAAAAGTCAGCCACCAGAACCGGCGCATGAAAGTGCCTGGTTATTGGTTGTAAAAATTGAGACTGATCGCTTAATTATTGCCCGCTCACTGTGGCACAAACTATAGTTCAGCTATAGCAATACGCACTCCTCATTTTACTGTTTGACACTACGCAATTGATGAATGAGGGTTTTGTAGGAATGCAACACTTATTGCATCCAAGTGAGATAAAAATGTAATCCGTATCCAATAGATTAATAAAGCGATGTAGTTTGGGTTTTTGTTATCAACTTCTGATCAGTTTACAGTGGACTGCACTTCGACTCTGCTTGTTCGGATGATAGAGAGCAATGATATCTTTAACTTTAGAAACTTTCAATTTTCGTTCTTCATCTGATAAATATCACATGTAGCTCCGGTGAGCTGCTCCCCGATTAACAGCAACCATAAGCTGGTAAAACACCTGAAAAGAGGGCTAAATTAGGATGGGAGTAACTTATTTCTTTGAAATCTTTTCAACGAGATGGAACCTTGCCACATTCCTGTTTGTCCTTAATTACGCCGAGGTTAGATGGGTGCCCTCGGCTAAAAAGACCGAAGGGTGCTGTGACGTCACTTTGTACGGTGCGGCCGTGATGCTTCCTTGATTTCTGGGGTTCATCTCAAAATATACCCGCACGGCGAAATCGGACGCAAACCTCCAAGTCTACACATCGGGTCTGCGAATTTCAATCATGGTGTCGCATTTGGACTGGTATCATCAGCAGCCGCATCATCATCATCATCCGCGACATCCGGGGAAAGCTTATTCATCCCCTAACAGGAGATGAACAGCAATACCGGAAAATTTCATAAAATAGCTAGGGAAAAAGATAAAATAGAACAAATAGAAAAGTCACTTTCGAAGGCGCTTTAGTGTCTAAAATAGTCGGACGTAATACGTACACTGCAACCAAGTACGAACAACAGGAACGGTGATCCCAAAACTCTATGGCTTACCAGAGATACATAATAATGGAATGACTCTCCGACTGATCCTAGGACATCTGTAACTTCCTTTACCATGTCATGGTTAAGTGGCTGGTAGCGCTCTTGGAACCCGTGAAAGCACAATTCTCCAAACACGTATTGAAGGATTTCTATGAGTTGACGACTATACAGGATTGAAAACACAAACAAAAAGGGATTATGCATGATATTACTCGACGTCAGTCACCCTTCACAAACGTTCCAATTAATGAAACTGTTGAATACGTGTGTGACCACATACAAAGCACTAGTTGTGAAATTGGAATAACAGTTGGTGACCTCAAACAATTACTATACTTTTGCACACATAATGTACAATTCAAATTCAATGACGAAGTATATCGCCAAATAGATGGAGTGGCAATGGGTTCTCCTCTGGGTCATTGTTCGCTGATATCTTCATGGCAAAGCTGGAGAATAACATCCTGAAACAAACAATTGATCTTGGCACATTTGACAAACGCTATGTGGATGACATTTTGTGCTTTGTCAATGCCAGTGTGCATCTGTTAGGACTCTTGAAAGTGTTTAATTATTTCATTCAAACACTAAGTTTACTCTAGCGGACGAAGAGATCGCATTTTTGAACATCTTACTAAGCCGCCAATCCACAGGAAGCCATCTTGGAACAATGAGTCCATCCATTTAAAAGGCGACGTGCCTTTGGAGTGGAAAAGAAACCTGATTCAGTGCCTCACTACTAGGGCGCAGAGAATATGTACAGACGATACTATTGATACGGAATTGAGGTTTATTCTCGACGTTTTCTTTTAAAACGGATATCCAAAGCGATTTGTGGACTACATTTGGGGCTTCATTGGTTGCCTAATAAGGTCACAACTGCGGAAAATAGACCAGTCTACATATCAAGGGTGACAACTGCCGAGACGTGATACGTAAACTGAATGCAGTTGTAGGTTATTTATTATTATTATTATTATTATTATTATTATTACTATTATTATTATTGTGGCGTTGGCACCTTGCTTATCCGCAAGCCGGTTTTAAATATATTAACTATATATAGGTAAAACGTTCCCCACAGCAAAACTGCGCAGTGTTCATCTCCAGGCCACTTTTGTGCTTTCAACTCAGAGATAAATTACGTGTTTCTGCAGTCTCTTTCTGTGTACCTGTGCCTGTGGGACAAGGTATATTGATCGAAATAGCAGACGTTTATCTGAACAAGTCCGTGAGCACCACCCGGCCAGGTTAAATAGTGGAGTAATGAGGACTGTCGACAGTTCGATCGTTTCACACATAGTGGAATCAAACCACGTGGTTAATGTGTCCGAGGTGTTTCGACCCATCTATTTAGTTCGTAGCCGTCGATCTAAGAGGATTAGGAGTTGCATTCGGGCCACAGCGGAAGCGATCGGAATCCGCCTACATACTCCCCTCCCCCCTCACTGTGCTCCCAAAAACAATTCGTAAGAACACTCAGTCTCCCATGTCCAAAACCACATACACGACACAACTAGTTCACGAGTGTGAGCAACATCATCCGGTCGTGAAACTGGAACTTTTCCAACCTCTCATGATTTCCCATCGCCCCCTCCCTACTAACCAGTTTGATATAAATTGTGGTGTATTAGCCTGTAGAAAAATCACTGCAAACGAGCTCGTTCGCTCGTTTGTGTTTTTCTTACAATGTGTAATGATGGTATATTCAGACAATAACGGGAGATTGTCATAAAAAATGGATAAAGTGACCCTGTTTGTTTTGTGCAGCGCTCATTTTCTACAACTGACTGACTTTCTCTGTTTCCGTTAGCGTTCTCCTGCAAATTGTCAATTCAAAGCGTCAAAATAGTCGGTCATATTTTCTCTCCCTAATCCGTCTGTCAGGTCAAACGAATTCACGAATACAAACGTCAGCTGTTGAACTGTTTGCACGTGATCACTCTGTACAATCGGATCAAGGCGAATCCGAATGTGGAAATCGTTCCGCGCACAGTGATGATTGGGGGCAAAGCAGCACCGGGCTATCATATGGCCAAATTGATTATCAAACTGATCAATTCGGTTGGCAAAGTGGTCAACAATGATCCCGTGGTCCGAGGTCGTTTGAAGGTAGGTGGTCTAACCAAGGCACATGGTTTATACTCGCTGTTTTGACTTTGTTTTCATCTGTTTCTCTTTTGAGAACATTTGAGCTAGACAGAACAGAAGTGAGCTATTCACACCGACATAGGTGCCTCAACTCGGACTTATTTTGAGATTCTGAAACACCATAGTCAGCGCTTTCATTTGAGTGCACGGCCACGAAAACCGCGCTTACTGTGAATAGTTACGCAACAATTTAACCTGTTTTTGAATTACTTGTACGTGTGTTTATTGTGATACGTGGTGAATTCCCCGCTGGAACTCGATTGATTCCCAGTCATCAATCCTTTCTATGATCATTTGTTCGTGGATACTGGCGAGCAAAGTTGACATCATGATCTGGGAATATGCCATTTCGATTAGGACTATATTGGACACATTTTTCTCGAAATTCTCATTCACTCATGTCTATACCCGTCTAATCTGTAGCTCGTTTTCCTGGAGAACTACCGCGTCTCTCTAGCGGAGAAGATATTCCCTGCGTCGGAGCTCTCAGAACAAATTTCCACTGCCGGTACAGAAGCGTCCGGCACAGGAAACATGAAGTTCATGGTAATTTTGTTCCTTCTGATTCGCTTGTCATGCAAACCTGGTTACTTTTTCCTGTTATCATGACTATTACAATCAGCCGGTGTACATTCGTGTTATGCCTCTCTTATCAGTGATCATTTTCTCATTTAGACACTTCACTTGGTGCGTTTATTCGTCGCTGTTTTATTCCTCGAATATATTCGGCATCGATTTTCTCTTTTACGTCTGAAACGATAGCGACCATAAGGTTAAGATTAAGGGAAGATACATACAGATCGATCTATGGAGAGCAGAAACTTAACTATGACAATAGACAAAAGAAAGCGAAACAACTGCCCGAAATGGGATAGTGGCTAAGGGTGAGAGGATGAAGGGGAATACTCGATCAATCAGAAAAACCTAACGTTGAACCCGGTCAAAAAGATAAAAGACACAAAGGAGCATCTTTCCTGGAACCGGAAACTGATTTCGCGTGGTGCGAGAACCCAATGTGGATATCAGTTCATTTCAACGACGTAACATTTCACTGAGGTTGAAAAGTCGTGTATACTGCGCCACTGCACGGTCTGTTCTGCTTCGCCATTATGAGATCTTGAATTGGTGGTTATAAGGCATACATAGCCTACTGGTTTTCGACAATCTGCTTACGTACTCTGGCTTACGTGGGATGGAGTGAGCGTCTGTCTAACAGTGGCCTACCGCACTGCGCCTTATTTCCAGTGGTCGCTCCAGACTGGAGAAAACCATGTGGAGGCCGACGGGTGACTTGGAGACGAGGCATAAAGAAATGCACAGTGCGATTAGGTACAGTACGTGTCTCTCGTTTTCCATTTTGTGTTCTTAACGTCTCAGTAACCGCATGGTTAGAGACACTGAAGGTCATGGCTGCGAACCAACAGCGATGGCGATCGTGCTGTCACTTCGGTCCAGAATGCTTGAAATAGTTTGTATGCACAGTTGAACTGTGTTGACCAGAGGTTCGCGTGCATTCCCCTGTCCCTCGAAATTATGCCCAATACCTATCCTCCTTACACATTGGCATTTACCTTGCAAGAACTATGAGTTTGGTAGCGATCAGTGAAGTTCGCTTCGCTGTACTCCGCCGGAAGATGATGATGCTGAATTTAGTGCGCAAGAGTGAGGATTTTTTTCTGGATGGACGCAGGAGAAAAATGATTTTTGAAACGAAAATATGGCGAATTAAAATCCGATTGAGGGAAGCTGAAGGGATCGAAATTTTGAAAGAATCTCCAATTCCAGGTTTAATTATAGGAAGTGTTTATACGCTTTCGTTTCTCTTACCCCTAGGTTTGTTGGAACCGGTGAATTGATTGTATCGACAAAGAAAGATTTCGTACATGGTTTCGTGCATGAGAAAAATTACTCTAACAGCACGGTCTGATACAAAGCTATGCGAAAATAGATCCAAGAATGAGCAGAAATAATACTCTAATAACATTTAAGTCATGACCGATGTTGTTTCGTGGTGGTATACAAGAGAATTGTGGGGAATCCTATCCTATCGAAACAGCTGTCCAGTGCTTCCTAGCTTTTCAGTTCACGTTTCGTTTGCCATATACACGACGAATAACCTTCGAAATCCTATCATTGTCGAAACAATCTGTTGAATAGCAGGATGGTTTTCTCCACCTACACATATAAATCCGTCTTGTTTCAGAATATGTGACAGACATGCCATGACACAACAGCTTTTATAGAATGAAAACTAAATGTCTGAGTAGTAGCGAAGTTTATAGATCGAAAGAAACCCAGAATGGCTTTTTCTGTTTTCGGCCTTCACCACTGTGAGCTTCTCAAACGGTGAATCAGCCACGTTTCAACAGCTTCACTGGACCCGTTTACATGCCCTCCAGATCTAACCCGGTGCATTAGGTACTACTACTCTCCTTGTTCCCTGAATCTAGTTGAACCTAAACGCGGA